GATCATCACAAGGAAGAAATGTACAGATTTGAAATGGATATGACCATTTACATTTTCTTCCATTGCCAATGCTACACACTCATGGCTCATGAAAAATCAGGCTGGTAATTGTTTTCCTTTAACCCTGCTGAAAACCCGACGGAGAAACAGCACTAAAAACAAACTGTGGAAGTGATGAAACAAATAATCAATAAATGTATGTGCAACGCCACATATCTGTGTAATATTCAATGGTTGTTTTAGCAGTCTCAGGTGAGAGCAAAATGTTGAATACGGACAGATAACTCTCTGGAGACCACTGGTATGTTTTCCTACTGTGAATTCAAACAGATTAAGTCCCATGTGACCACATTCCAGTGACCCACAGTCAGGACCATTACAGCACGCTTGACTCATTTGGAAAAATTGATCTAATACAGAAAGCAGAATGTTACAGTTTACAAAAAAAAACATACAAAGAGAATGAATTCTATGGCATGTGAGTTATATTTGTAATCTTAGATATAATGCTCAATAATGAGTGTTTTTAGAAGAAGAAAATTGACCGGGTATTAAATGCTAAATTAGATAGATTAGATACATTTCATTCCCATAAATAAGGGGGTAAATAGCAGATGATTCTAAAATACTCTGAGCTTAATATATACCTGCAGGATAATAAGACTGATGCATGACAAAAATATCCCGAGCTAACATGACACATCTGAAGATGAGCATTTTGTCCCAGAGTTTCCACAGCGAGCCTCATTTCAACAATGGCTCTGCTGATGGGTTTATCTCTCATACACCCACAGCTCTGCACAGCCTGTCTGCTTCCTAACCAGCTGTAGGTCCCATGGCCCCCCTCTCCTGTGCCTGGCACTGTCACAAGCACAAAGGTTTACTCAATCACTGGTTTCCATGCATGCGACAATAGGCATATGGTCACATCAGCCAAGAACAAACTCTGTTCTCGCTCTCTCTGTACTGTCACTCTATCTGTCTCCCTCGGAAACACTATGTTTCTATATTTTCTCTCATGCACCACTCGCATGTTTTCTCTCATGCACCCCTTGCATGCTATTTTATGTCTCTCACAGAGGCATGCGTTAGTGAATGAGGTTTAGCTTTAAATAGTATGGCTTGGTATTTTCTACAATTTATGACGACAAATCATGTGTCAAGTCCAAAGTCAAAGATGTGCTTGACTGTGTATGGATTTTTCCAGCGCTTCATAGGCTACAATGACATAAATCTTTAAGGTCAATCACAAATATGCATCCTTAATGGGTTTTTTTAACGGATGTGTAATATGCTGTGTAGATTTTAGCACATAAAATTCAAAGAGGATAACGTGCATTTCTTGTCGCTTTTACCCAGCCTGTTTGTATGATTGCCAGCATGCATTTGAGGATAGACCAGCATGTATTTAATGTTGCAGGATGGTGTGTGTAGGATTGACTCAATAACTTAAATGCCCCCCTTTTTGTGTAATCAAAGAACAAGCCACCAAGTGCAACCTAAGGCAGCCCTTTGTTGTGTTTTAACAGCTTTTGGACGGGGGCATAAGCTTTAACAGGTGGCAGTAGCTCATTCTATTGAAACATGGCTCAGGAGCCCAAAAGGTGGTCAGCAGCATAATGCCAATACACCACCTCCTGGACCAAAGCACTGAACCCTCTGCTGTCTGGATGGAATATCTAATTTTGTCAGATTTTAAAAGGAGAATTAAACTGTAGGAAAAAAGGGCTGATTTGAAATAGAATATTCTTGTACATACAATACAGTATATCCAGTCTCCAGAACTGCTTCAACAATATCTCCTGTTGTAGCTTCTACAAGTCTCTGAACTCAATAAGGCACGAACGCCATTCTCCCTTAAGATATTCCCTGTAGGGGCGTAAGGAGCTGTCTAACACGTCCTCCCAAATGTCTTCAGTTGAGTTCTGATGACTGTGAAGGCCACACAATTGCATATGATTTGCATCATTTCCATTTCCATACAGCGAGTCCTTGTTCTCTTCGGAAGCATCTGCATTTCTTGTGTTTCCGAACTGATTTACTCTGGTTTGTCCTTGAAATTGTCTCCTGTCTGTAGCAATATAGACAAACGTATATGCAGTCATATTTGCATATTTCTTTCCTACAGTGTACAAATGGATGTTAAAAACCTATCCATCTTAATTGCTCGGACTCGTGTCACCCTTCGTCTCCATTGTTTGTTGAGTTTTGTTCAGGATACCTTGTTTAATTCCACATGTCAGGTAGAATTTCCCCTCAGGGTCCCTGCTCACCGTCCCTTTCTCTCTCACAAACAAACTCCTATTCACCCCTCTTTTATAGAGTGCAACACTATAATAATGCTGTTGTTTCTCCAATTACACATTCTAGCTGGGTAAAAAAATAAAATCAAACGCAAAATGGGGTGAAACTGCAAATGTATACATTTCTATTTCCGTATGGCTGTTGGAGCTTGCATTCCCATCCCATGTGAATCACCTCAAAGAAGAGCACACAGGGGGGAAAATAATTACTTTTTTTTGTATTAAACCCACTGCACCATTCATGTAAACATCTTAACAGGCCAAAGACGTGACTTCAATTTGCGAGGTCTCATTGTGACATTGTGTAGCACAGAATGAATGCTCTGTGTTCTTGACATGTTTATTCAGAGCGGCTTGTGCCGCCATCTGTTTTAATCTTGGTTTTATTGACTGTATTGGGGTTCGCACCAATTCAATTGAGAGCAGTGCACTTGGGGTATCATGACTGAAAAAGTGAATTATACTGAAAGTTGAATAAAAGAGTTGAAATACTTAGTGACTCTGAAACAATAGTGCTAAGCATTTAAGCTAATGTTTGGTAGTGAGGAATCACCCAAAAATGTGCCACACAAGCAAGGCACATGACCAATATAGGAGACTCATCATCAGCTGAGTGAGCGAGAGAAAGAGAGAGAGAGAGAGAGTTTTAGGTAGAAATGAAAATGGCTCTTAGAATGCAATAAATGATGTAATGCTAAAGTGAACTCAACAATGTGATATTGAAGTATTAGCAGGAAGATGTTTTTCAGTGACAGGATATCTGGGCTTTAGTGATGAGTAGGTAAATCTAATACATGTGTTTCAAGTCGAGTATATGCTTTTTATGTGCACTTAAATTTGAAAATCTTCATGTTGGGTTTATAGCTGAGTTAAAATCAGAAGCAACTCTCTCGTTAACAATATATATTTCTTCTCCTGCTGAGTACTGACGGATGAAAACATAGAGGACAGCTGGTCGATGTCAGGAGGTTTCCGCAATTGGACATCGCCAAGCCTATCGACACCCAACATCAATGAGGTAAACAGCTCTGATGTACTCTACCTATGACCAGGAAAGTTACTAAACACTGTTCCTGCAATCAGATACACTGCTTAACTGTGTCATTAGAGGGGGGGTCGTGTACTTATTTTATTTGAAATCATAAAATGTTGATAGTTTGCCATGGAGGAGGAGGAGGAGGACGAATGGAGAAAGAAATATAATTTTCTCTTTTAGTTTATTGGATGTAAATATATTTGGATAAGATGGTGGATACTTAGTGACTTGACTGGTGAAGCCAAACAGGCAGCTTGCAGCATCTGACTGTTGCTCAAACCAGCCAACCCTAAATTATGCATAACCTTAAAGATATTCAAATTTTTACTGGTGGATTATGTAATTATTTTTACTCCCATACATTTGTCATTGAAGAGAAAATTATCTTTGGAGACCAAACCCCAATCTGGCTGTGAACATTTTTTCTTTATTCAGCTGTAAAGTTGGGAGTTTTGGAGCCAGCCTCAAGTGGTCATTTGAGGAACTGAAGTTTTTGCAAATTCTTCACTGCCTTCATTTTCAAGCCCCAGAGGTTACTATTGGATAACCATAAAGTATAAAACAAGGTAGTCGTCTCAGTCATACTTTGGTCACTGAAGAGGTGTTTTGAAGCCGGATGATAGCAGCTGTATAATAAAAATGTTGTTTCAACCCAAGTTTCGGTCAAAATGGAAACAGGCAAAGAGGTGGAGCTGAGGTGTTGCACAGGCCACCTGACAGACTGTTAACCGCTTGCATTCAGATCAGCCATGCCGCCAATTTTGCATAACTCTTATCCTTTATAAAATTACAAGTTGTGAGTTACATCAGCTATTCAGACCAAAATCTTTTTTTTGGGTCGTTCTGCTGTAAAAATGGGCATTGTTGAATGCATGTGTATGTGACTCCCAGGTTCTTTGGGGTCACGCTCAAGTGGACACTTAAGGAACTGTGGGGCTGTTGCAAATCCGCATGGCTTCATTTTTCAATACTGGAGGTTGGATAAATTCATTTTAAATGATAGTTCTTAGAAATGTTTAAGAAGGAGATCTATATCAATGTTTATCACTATCAACTAGAAATAAATATACTTCAACAATTCTATGTCTCAATATCAAGCAAAGAAAAATTGTTTGCCATTGCCATAAGATGTGTGATAGCTTATCTTGTCAGGTGATGTCTGCCAATGTTCATTAATCTGGTTTACAATAACATTCAAGCAAGAGATCAAATTCCCTTGAGTTTGGTTTATTTGATTTTGTCAGGAGATACATTTTAGTTGTTTATTTTGATAATTTGTCACTCAGTGCTGCCCATCAAACAACACATTGTCATGGAAACAGAAAAAGGTCACAGAGAGGAGAGGAGAGGAGATAATAAGTGCTTCCAAAGATTTCACAGTGGCTGATATCTTTGTATTTGTAGTCTTTCTCGGTTTAATTTTGAGTTGAAAATCTTTTAGTTTACAGAGGAGTCAATTGCACACTTTAAGCTCAATTCTGATATGAAGCTTTGTCTTTTCTTTCTCTTTTCACAGGCCTCAAGTAAGGATATTGCTGCTTCACTGCACAAGAATGTGCTGTCATGGGGAGTGTGGCGGGGGCCAGAGCAGAAGGAGAGTGTGTTTCTTCAAGCAATAGCACACTCTGCCTTCTCTCAGACTGCAGATAGAGGATCTTACAGTGGTGTTTCTAGCCTGTCCAGGTCTGCAAGTGTCCCAGATGTGCTGGGAAGGAGTCCAAAGACAGCATTTTCTTCCATTACCATCACATCCCGGAAGGTTCTGCGCTCATTCTCCACCTCTCGGGAAACTTTGTGCCCATCCTCTCAAAGACAGCCTTTGAGGGTATTCTCTGCACATAACGAACATTTTGGAACAGGAATCTTACCCACGAGCAGAATGAGAGTCCCAGAATCCCAGCCGGACTTGAGCAGACAGAACTCTACTATTGTAACCTCAAATAACTTCAGACAGGCCTACTCACCAGCTGATAGGTTGGCAGTGAGAGATTGGGGAAAGAGGAAAGCACAACTTGTTCAACACAGACAGAGCCACACAGAGAGCAACAGAAAGGAGGATGTGATGGGCTGCTCTTTAATAGATCTGTCCTCGAAACCTTCCTACAGGTCCTGTGTCCATCTGGAGGTGCCTCTGAGGTCTACTAGCTCTGTTCTGTTTTTGGACAAGTCACTTTGCATCTCCCTTGTGGGACTGGAGGAAAGAAGAGCAAGTCAACCCACTTTGTTCAGGTCAACCTTTTCTATTCGCCTCGGTGGCTCATCCTGCCGAAGATATGCTACGAAAAGCAAAGTAGCCAAAACAAATTTGGGTTACGGGAGACCCAGATCGGCCAAATTGGACGGCTACAAATGCAATAACCAAGAGAGTAATTTGGGCCACTGCAGAGGCTCTCTACCAAAGCTCAGGGGCGACAAGGTTGTGAAAATAGCACCTGCTTGTGGTGTGAAGGTGGAGGTGGATGGTTCAGATACACAATGCTTGAGCGCTACTTCAGGAATATTGTCATTCAGAGGGACAGACCGCTCAAACACAAAGACTGCAAGGCAGAAGGGGAATGCTGATGAGGCAGCTTTCCCTGTCCGGACCGATTCCAGGCACAAGAAGCATACTTTCAATACCCGCTCAGGTATGAATTTTCTCAGAATCACCTTCCTTTAGTAAGTGAAAATCTAAAGTCCCCTCATCAATTGATCTGTATATACCTTTCAGTAGCTTCTATATTCTAAAGTGAATGTAGATAAGGCTTTAGAGGTATTACAGCAAGTGGAATGAGGCACCAAGGTGGTCTCAGAGGATCTAAAGTTTGATTGTTTCATTCTGCCTCTCATGCATTGGAAATAGAACCACACCTATTCACCACACATCTCCGACTGTACATTCACACATTTAAAAATAAATCCCATCTGGTACACACACAACTGCAGACTTAAATAAAATCTTAAATGTATTCCTATCTGAACAACACTCTTTAGTTAACATCTGCCACTGTATATATTAACAGTGGGCTGCAAACGTTTAAAAATGGACAGAATTTGCATGTTTTTAAATAATCATTCTCTGGGTCTCCTGGTATTCAATTCAGGATAACATCAAGGGTATATGAGAGTTTTTTTAAGAAACATAGTTTGGTTTATTCCATTGAGTGGCCTCCTGTTTAACTGTTCGTGCTAGACTCTCTTCATGGTAATATAAATTATAACCAGGGGTGTTGCATAACATTTAGGGGGCCTGTATGTATGTATTTTATATGGACCCCTTATATGCATCCATTATTACTATTTTTCGGGATATCTATTATCCTTTTACCTCAGTCAAGTGCCCTGCTAATAACAAATACAGTACATGATAACCAAAGCACCAGAATCAATGTGACACTGCATATTTGGTCTACTAAATTAAGCTACTGTTTTAACTGTGTCATCTTTAAGGAATACTTCAACATTTTGGGAAATATTCTCATTTGCTTTCTTGACAAAAAGAGAAGATACATATATCTGCACGCCTCAGCAGGCAATCCTTACTTTTGCTTAGCTGTGTAGCACAGTGCCTTGAGATTAGTTACTGGTTATAGATGATTTACTCATCACTGTGACTTGTCTACGAAATCTGATTGGACATCCTTGAAGGTACCCCAAGTATAAACACTGGCTTAGTCTTACTTATAAAGCTATTCTTGGTTTAGCGCCTTCTTATTTATGAACATGCCTCAAAAGATCCAAAAGCCACTATGTCTCTGTTCCTCTGTTTTTCAACTGTATGTTCCTCGTGTCCGCACAGAGCTCGGGAAAAGAGTGTTTAGTTTTGCTGCCCCCTCATTTCGCTTGAAGCTTTTGGCTCTTTATTATGTGACAAAAAACGTGAGACCATCTGACAGAGTTGTTATACTGAGAATTGTTATTCTGTGTTCACAACTCCTGCAGTTTATTTGCAAACCGATTTGCTTAAAATCTTAAAAAAACAATATACTGTATAACAATAAATTTGACACTGCAGTCCAAATTCAAACACAGGATGCCATGTCGCGGACACGGAAGATTCAGTGTTTAGCCAGCCACATCAGTCCTGAAACCTTTCTGTGCTCTAACCCTCTTTCCATCGCCAATAGTGAGCTTATTTGAAAAATGCCAAGGCTTGTTAGGTTGGGTAGAATCAGTCATATCTGAACCAGTTCGCTTGCCCGGTTTCATAATTTGCAACACCTGTTGGTTTGCACCATGCCGGACTGGAAACACATGTTTGGAGTACGACACACTGGCTGCTGCATTGTTGTCAGAGAAGCCAGCACTTCAACATAGCATGTTTCCTTAATGTCTATAGTCAGGTCATTTTATGATTTAATACAGTAGATATCTTACATATTGCTCCTTTTATTGTTGTTTACTCTTAACTTATTGTTTGTAAACTGTTTCATTATCATGTAATCTTTATTTAAGAAGTGTGCTGCTGCCCTCCTGGCCAGGTCAGCCGTGTGAAATAGATTTTTATCTCAATGTGTTAATTATTAATTACCTGATTAAATAAAGGTTAGGCTATAAAAATGTAAATGTAAAATGTAAAAATCGTATAAATAGAAAACAGCTACTGGCTCTGCCCAGGAGTGACAAAATAAGGCCAACAGTCTCTAAGTTTATATATAAAAACATTATATCTTGTATTTAATCTGAACTAAAGGCAAAGTTTTAAAAATAACAAAGGATCAGAAATTCACTGCCCCCGGCCAAGTTCCTTTATGTTTACATCTTTTTTTCTATCGCTAAGCTAAGCTAATGTGCTGTAGCTTATTATATAACTGACAGACACTAGACATGAGTGCTGTTGTTTTTTTTTGCGTTTGATGGAGAGAAAAATGGTACCTGCCAAAATGCTGTACCTTTTTGTTAATATGAAGTAATATAGCAGCGAGGCTAAGAGAACTGAATTGATTTAGATTTTTCAGAGAGCCATACGTTTTCATGCAGAGAGAAAATTACATCTACTGAATCATTGGTGCAGTGAGCAGACCCATCCAGTACTGAAAGTGGATTTGACAGGCAGCAGGACTCAAATATGTGATGTCACTGCCTGAAGCAGTTTCAGAGTCATACCTGCCTGCTTTCCGTGTTACACAGACTGTCTGAGGAAAACAGCTGCAACACAACACTTTTTAATTATTAAACCACTCTCTCCTCTCATTACAACATTTCTTTTCCTGCACCATCCAGCAGTCTCTCCCCCCTCCCCCCCCCCTGTTTTCCTCTCTATACTTTCGTTTTGCTCCAACAAAAGCAATATACAGCATTTATTCTAATACCAAAAGAGCGAGAAATATCCTGAGGCAATAACTTGACCAGTGACACTACATCTTTGGTGTGCGCTTTTCAGAGCATGACGTGATGCTTTATCTCCACGCAACATGGTCATGGCAGAGTATTCAGTGGAGATATACATTCTTCAAAAGGTATAGAGGAATGGGGGTTACAGGGGCCAGAGTGAATACAGTGTCATCTTTTTACATTATTCATAGGCCACACTCATGTTCCCTCGTTGTGGTTTTTTCTCTCTTTGGAAGGGTAGGGTCAGTTCGAGGTTTGTTTGTTTTTCTGCTTGTCCGGATCACAAGAGGCGAGTCTCGGGGGGGGGGGGGGGGGCATATGACGTGTGGATTCCGTCTGAGGAATATAAACAATCTGCAAAACACTTACTACTTCAAATTATTATGGAAAACTGTCTCTCTCTTTGCCTTCCAATCAGCTTTCTTACTCATTTTTTTAGCCAGGGGACAAGGATGTGATGTGTCAAAATAAAAGGCAGGGTTGGTAATTTTTCTAAAATTAGCATGATTTTCAAAGTTGCATTCCCTCTGTGTGCCGTCAACACCCGCCCCCTCCCCTCTTTGCTCCCTCAAAAGTAACGGCATGCATCCAGAAGTGGACCTCAGCTCATCGCTTGCATTGTGTAGAAACTACGCCGTCTCATGTCTCATTCAGCGGTAAGTGAACTCAGAGTATGAACTCCGTCATCGGTGACGCGCTTTGAGTGAGGGCTCGTGCTCGCAAGGGGTAGAGAAGGAGCATGGAGACAGGGAGGCCTGATTGATTCATCAGATTGGTACCTCGTGTCAGACATTGGTCGAAGTTTTTACAGGCTTACAACTGCTACAGATGACAGATTTTCTTCGTTCCTTTTTCAGAGCACATGAGTTATTCATTTCTGTCAGAGTATTCAACCAATATCTTAAAAAGTGTACCTGGAGAAAATGACCAACACTGCCTTTAAATTTCACACTCATTTGACTTCTCACTATGTTTCTCAAGTGGACTCCAGGACCTGGAGCAAGCAAACAAGAAGTGACGAGACAAAGGAGCGACAAGATCAAGACAGTTCCGCAGAGCCTCCAAAAGTTTTCATTTCAGAAAAGACCTTTTCCAGTTGCAAGGCTGATTCTCTGGAAGAAACGCCCCAAACTCTCAGCCTCAAAGTAAGAGCCACATTTCTCTTACCTTTATTGTCCTTTTTAATAAAGAACAAAAAGAACACAAGAAGCAACATGGAGCTTCAAAGCAAACCTTACTTTGACCTTTTGAGGATTTTTTTTTTTTTTTTGACAAAAACATTTGCTGCTACACTCACTTCAAAATGCTATGCAGCTCCTGCAGCTTTGAGACACATATTGTGTCCTTCATCAACAGATTGAAGCCAATCCATCTCCATGACAACTTCAATCATGTGACCTGAGTTGAGAACTTGGGTCATGCCATAACAGTGATCATATATATAGGGGAGGTCGTAACTTGTCTCTCTATATAGTGATGGGTCAATAACAACTGAAGCATCTTAGTGATGAAGGCCACAAGTTATGACCAAAAGCTCCATAAAATGTCCATTAGAAAAACTATAGACTGCAACACTGTTTGACCTGCAATAGACACAATTTAAAGAGGGGTTACAATTGATGCAGCAGAACAAGTCATTTCACAATTTTGTGCTATGCGTTCTTCTTTCTTGTCAAAATCGTGGAACATTTGGGCGCCAGATAGCCAAGAGGTTATGACATGTGCCTCATGTACAGAGGCTATATTCTTCCCCTCGTAGCCGTGGGTTTGAATCCGACCTGAGCCCTTTGCTGCATGTAATCCACCTCTCTCCCCTCCCAACATTTAGTGTCTCTTTTCAGCTGTCCTATCTAATAAAGGCAAAAGGGCCAAATAAATAACTTAAAAACTGAAAATATTATCTTATCTAATCTTATCTTATGATAAACACAAACTAAAAAGTATGAAATACTTGAATAGAATACAAAGTGTGAGAGGGCTGTGGTAGAAACCTGTGAATGGAGTATTTGTTAAAGAACCCCCCAAAAGACGTATATAAAGTAATAATAATACAAACATTAAAAATATTCACACAGTACAAAAAACCATCACACTGTGCTAAATGGCTACATGTAAAAAAATGCAGAGATTTAGTCAAAGAGGATAAATTATGGGAAGATGCAAGAAATGTAGCTGTACCCATGGTGTGAACATCAATTTCTTTAAGTCTTCATTTTTGTTCCAAACTAGATGTTTATAATGACTGCACTTCATTGCCTTGATAATTGAACTAAAGAATTATTGAATCATAATAATAAAGAGTGGTGAGAATAGTAATAAATAGTGTGGATGAGGATTAAAATGCAACAGGAAATCGTTCCCTGAAGTAAAGAAGCCAAACTGGCAACCCAAAGGTCAAAGAAGAGGTCAAGAACATTTCATCAACAGCTTTACACAAAGTATGACAGGTTGACAATCTTATGTATGAAAAAGTTAAGTATATATGTCATATGGGACCTTTAAAAACCAAAGGAATGATAGACTATTTCAATTAACATTTCCCACACACACAACTAGGGAGAATCTGGATGTGTTTACTCTTGGAATAATCATCACAGCAGCAGCAGCATCTCTGGAAGAGGGATTTTTTACACTTGGAGAGATTTTTTTCCTTTAGTCTGTGTTTGTCACAGCCTCTGCCAAGTAGAGAAGAAATCTTAAATAATTACACAATTTACTTTTTCATTCCTTTTCGCCTTCCTCCTTTTCATTTGATCCAGTATTTCTTTCAACTGAGTTAATGTAACAAGTTTTATCTCAGCGTAGCGAGGGGCTAAAGATCCTCCGAGGTTTGTGAGGCTTTTTTAAAGGATTCCGATTCCCCCTGTGAGAAAAGCTCTCTTACCTTTATCCCCACTAAAGCTGAGCATAATATTACCATGTTGCCTGCACCTCCAAGCTATTACACGACTGTGAAGAGGATTCTCCAAGGTTAAGGAATAGATTAAGGATATTTCAGAATAGATTTAAACCCAGTGAAGATTTTCTTACTTTCTCTCAGCAGGATTAGTGTCTATGAGTTGTACTGTTCTCGCACCGCCAACAAGAAGCTTACTATGTCCACCTTTCTCTCTCTCTCTATCTCTCTCTCTCTCTCCACCCCAGGAGGCTTTGGAGCTCTTCAGGCCAGACTTCATCAGCCGATCTCAAGGTCGGTTGAAGAGGTTGGAGAAGAGGGCTATGAGGAGGAGAGAGCTGCAGGAGTCCAATCCAGACCTGGTGCTGGACCTGAGGGAGGAGGGATGCAGACAAAGGAGGAAGTGCACAACACCTGATCCACTTAGCGGTAAAAGCAACGAGATAACCTGGCTGAGCAGAAGTAACCCCTTTAATAAAATACGATTCAATGTCTCCTGGTCACTGGACAGCCAATCAGAATCAGGGTTTGTCCTAGTCTCAGGCATGAAGACAGCAACACACCATCGGTTGTAGGTCATGAAATAGAGGATTCTGGGTCATGTGGAAGAGGAATTATGGTAGTCAGCCTGGTGATGACAGCAAAAAGTCAGTGTAGCCCTTTAAGAGTGTCTCCCAGGATTAAAAAAAAGCAGTTCCTTGTCTTAAAAATCCATCTTTCACCATCGTTGAACCGCTTCGCCCTTGACTATTGAGATTAATGCTTCTCTTTATGATTTTCTGGAGAGTGACCAACATTTGAGTCAAACTTTATGCTGAGAAATAAGAAAATCTGGCACTTGGGGTCCTGCCATTTTGAATCATGGTGATCTTTTGAAGAAATGTGCTCTGTTTCTCAGATTACGCCTGTTAACCTCAGTAACCGCAGCTGGCCTGTGGAATGAAAATCAGGATTTTACATATTATTCTCTTTTTATAGTCTTGTGGCAATTATCCAACTTTGCTCTCTGGTGGCCGTTATCTAGTATTGCAGATCAGTGAAAGCATTGTTCCCTGAAGCTCTGCATGCAGGGGCGGTACACTCAAGTTGAGACTAGAATGTAATGCGCTTCAAGATGTTTTCTATCTGTTTTATTTTTATCCAATACAAAGTAAAATTGTGCCATAGCCAGAAGCTTAAAAAAAAAAGGTCAGAATAAATCAAACAGGTATTTGTCATCAGAGAAAAGAAAGCATTATGCCCTACACATGAATTCACAAAAGCAGATAAAAGAAAATCAAGTAGCACAGAGGCCCATTGAAAGGAAGAATTGTCAAACAGATAAAAAGTAAAGGGCAGTATGCTGTTTATTGAAAATCATTTTGGGCAATCTAATGCCTATTGAGAACTAGCATATGTCAAAAATGTGGCTGAAAGTTGGTGCATGGTGAACGCTGTCACCTTACAGCAAGAAGGTGCTTTTCTGTGTGGAGTTTGCATGTTTCCCCTAATGATGCGTAGCTTCTGTTTGGGAACTCAAGGTTTCTCCTGTAGTCTAAAATCATGCTCCTTTAGTTAATTGGGGATTCTAAATGACCTGTATGGAGTTGGTCTGAGCATAAGTGTTTCATTGTATATACTGTACGTCAGAAGAGGTCAAAAAAAACTCCAGCAACACTTGTAGTATGTAGATCAACTTTGTTAACAAATTAGACCGACGCGTTTCGGCTTGTGGCCATCATCAGGGTCATGGTTAAGGCCACAAGGTGAAACACATCGATCTAGCCTTTCACTCTTCATGCACTTTGGTAGTTGATGATGCTGTGCCAGGAAATCCCACTCTGCTTCCTCAGTGCATTGTATATATGTCAGCCCTGGGATTAAGTGTACCCTGCATCTCTCCCAGTGACAGCTAGAATCGGCTCCAGCCATGAATACTAGATAATATTATAGATAATGAACAGATGGAAATGTCAAAAAACGTTATCCATCAACGTACAAATATTGTCTGTGATTTTGTTGCTGTCAGAAAGAAAAACACTTTTCATAGAAAATGACCAAGTTAGATAGAAAAAGGCCTGGGTGTGCGCATGTGTGTGTGTGTGTGTGTGTGTGTGTGTGTGTGTGTGTGTGTGTGTGTGTGTGTGTGTGTGTGTGTGTGTGTGTGTGCCTCTGCATTTAGCAAACTTGGCCTCTTCTAAAGAGACTTAGATTTAGACTTTTATAAAGTTGCAGTCATTTCTCTGCAGACAATGCTGCTGTACTGTATATTCAGTGTAAAATCTCTGTGGTGGTGTTTATGTCTTTCACTCATACTGAAGCTGCCAGACTTGTAAACCCTGACCATGCTTTGTGATGTTGAAGAGAAAACACACACAGTATTCCCTCCTGCAGTTTGATTCTCTATCTGCCTCCGTAAAATGTGTGATTTTTAACAGCTTGATGGAAAATTTCCCTTGAGATCATTAGAGTTTCAATCTATCTATCTACAATCCGTGATACACTAATTTGTTAAAAGCAATCTTATTGTTCCTGCAGTAACACGTTTCTAATCAAAGCAGATTTTTACATGAATTTGTCTTTCCTGCAAATTCAGCAGTTTATGTAAAACGGTAATAAAGGCATACAACTTGAAGTAGTTGAAGGGCTTAAAACTTAGTTTTGAAGGTCATGGAGGAGTCAAGGAGGAGCCATAGAATTACTGTGGGAACCTTGAACAGCTCACACTGATCCTGACTGAAGTCTGAGTCTAATTATGAACAAAGAGTGTTGGTGCTGTTGACCTGAGCAGAAGCTCTCTGCCGATTCACTTCAGTTCAATCTGTGAGAGACAGAGTAGTCCGACTTAACAGGACTGGATATGGCTTTGTTGGGCATGTGTGTGTTTATTTTTGAGTCCTTGTGTGTGTGTGTGTGTGTGTGTGTGTGTGTGTGTGTGCGTGTGTGCGTGTGTGCGTGTGTGCGTGCTCGTGTGTGTGTTTGTCAATGCTCAAACGTGTATCCGTCTGGAAAAGAGAGATCACACACAGCCCCTCAGTGTTTATTACCATATTCAGGATTCATTTACATATTAATACTGATTTGTAATTCTGATGTTTTTGTGCGTGTTCTTCTGTGTGTGTGTGTTTATGTGTGCATGTCCTAGATAACCTTTTCAAGCCTAGAGAGAGGTCTATATCCGGCAGAGAGATGCAGCTGAGGTCCAGACGGTGAGTTCTCCAGACAAAATCTCGCCTCCCTCTTTGCATGTTTTTTTTTCTCTAGCTTCAGCACAATCCATCAAGCTTGTATGTCATATCTGTCATGCATGCAGGGCTGTGCAGAAACACAATGCACATTCACACACCTTACATGCTGTACGTCTACAATAGATTTTTTTGACGGCCAAATGTCTTGACAGGAGATATGAAGTGGCCTTTGTTAACGTTATCTCTTTCTCTATATTTTTTCACGCCTTATCTGAAAAGGCACACCTGATCAGATTATGGCTGCCCATTGAATCTTTTTTTTTTTTTCCAAATGGGCACACTATCTTACTCAGAGGATCTCTTAACAAATTGGCTGTAGTTGCGGGAGTGAAAGAGGAGTCTGTGTGCGACCTGTTTATCAGTGCATCCAGGTTTTTTTACGCCGGCTGTGGCCTCACTAGATAATACCTTGTCTCTCGTATGCCAACCCGCTGGCACTGCTCAGCCACCCACACACTCCTGATACCAGATTCCCCTGCCCCCTGTATGAATTTGCCTTTCTTGTGTCTGCAGGATTTACAACAAGCTGCCAGAGGTGACAAAGAAAAAGGAAGAGGAGAAAAAGAGGGCTGTATCACAAAGCAACAGAGTACGAGCAGAAGTCTTCAAAAAGGTAGATTTTGGGGACTTTGATTACTTATTCTATAGGATAGGGAACAAGCACGCACACACTTGGAAAACTCACTAAACATAATACTCAACACACACTTTCACTGTGATGTGCTGTGAAGGCATCCCATGTTTTTTTATAGACTACAGCAAGGTCCCTTTTTGACATCAGAAAGTCTTCCATTCAGAGGTGTAGATGTTTTGTTCCGTGTGTTCAAGTCACACTCATACTGAGGAGCTGGTTGGTTATGTATAACATACTGTTTTTATTTTTAATGTCTTTTTAGTGATCACATCTCAAACTGTGTAATACAATGCAATATTACACTATTTAAGACTATATGCTGCAACACTAAACTTGGCAGACAACAAGACTCTTAGCATTGTGGGCAGGAGTAATTAAAAAAGTGACTGAACGTTATATTAGGGCTTCATTCATTCCTATTGTTAACGATCTTCCTCAGTTTGATGCCCTTCCAGGCACAGTAAGTGTACCACACTGATGTATAACTGATGTGGAGTTGTTCATTTGAACTATTGGTTTGATCTGTTTCTGCAAATGATCTTTGTATTGTACAGCATCAACATTTTAAGATATCTTGTGTGTGAAGTGTTTTTGTTTGGATAGACACGTGAGCTAAGAAAAATAGCAATCGTCTGAAAAACATGTTCAAGAGGGAATGCTTTTTTTTAACAGATGTAGATGCAACTTTACAACATCTACATTTTACAAACGAACCATAAAATATATATATTTTTAAATAACATTAGTGCAAACTAGACCAAAACTCAAATATCCAAATATATAGTGTAACAAAATTAAGTACACAGTTTGAGGGTTTTTTTCTTCATTCTTTTAAGTTATTGTATCAAATCGAGTTGAAACATACTCTGAATAAAAGTTTAATTCAAACGGGAGGCTCTGTAAAAAAGCAGAATACATGGGGATAAAATTAAACATGCTTTAATGATCATCCAGCAGAGGTCAGTGTGCCACAGCTTAAGCAACTTATCCTGCTGGACTGCTGCACAAATAAAGTGTTTGGTCAACTCTTTGGTCTCTTCTGTTTCCTGGTATTTCAGTTGAAATCTGCTGCTTGTCTGTGACAAGTGTCTTCTTTCAATCAGATCAGGAATTAACTCTAAGGATGACTTGTTACTGCATCACAAAGTGTTTTTTCTTCTTCATACCACAGTATTATTTAAGCTAACACTGTATAAACCAAAGCTCACAATAATACCTTAATTAACACTTATTCTGCACCCTGCTGACAATATTCACAGGACCTGTATTAACTGGAAACAGTGAGGAGTATGTGGTAAATGATATATTATGAGGACATGCTGTGTCAGAGTGCAATGAATTTGCTGCCAGTCAGTTGAGATGTGAAACTGTGAAGAGATGTCTTTAATGTCTTACAGATAATTACACAATCATGGCAGCTTCAGTTAGTGTGTGTGCAGGAAAGGATTATTTATGTGTAGAAGCAGTTTTTGCGACAGCTATTTTTTAAAGATGAACAAATGTGATTGGCTTGTTCATGTTTAGGTAAACCATGATTTCAATAGCCTCAGCCCAAGGGGGTGAATGACTTCTATGATTGGGGTTTCCCAACAGGGGACTGACTTTTGCAGGGGTGGCATGAAATATGAATTCACACCACAGACTGAATAAATCATGGAAGTGGTTCTCAGTAATGTCACTCATTAGTTTCTGAAGAGGTGTTGTGAACCCAGTGATCTGTGGTCACCTTGTTGGAAATGTTATCTCCACCTAGCTTTCAATCAATTGAGGAACAGGCGGCGCTAAAGGCGGGCCTTAAGCCTCCAGGCAAACAGCTATAATGCGCCCACTTGTGAGTTGACTCAGCCAAGCCCTTTCTCCACTAATGATATCTACTGTAACTACTTACATTGAGGTGTCATACAGATGTTATATTCCTATGTATAGGGGTCGTAATTTTTTTATTTTTTCATGATTAATTACTCATAGGTTATTTTATTATCAAAAAGAAATATCCCTGGGGCACTGGTGGCGCAGTGGTTAGTGCGCGCACCCCATGTATGGAAGCTGTAGTCTTCCAAGCAGGCGGCCCAGGTTCAAATCCAACCTGTGGCTCCTTTCCTGCATGTCGTTCCCCACTCCTCTTTCCCCCATTTCTGACCCAATCCACTGTCCTATCTCTCAAATTTAAAAAAAAAGGCACAAAAAGACAAAAAATAAATCTTTAGAAAAAGGAAGTATCCCCAAAAGTCAAATGGTAAACAACCAAAAAAGAAAAAATGACTAAACTGGAATGCAACAAAAGCTACTGGAAGCCTAATCATGTTGTTTCAACATAAGAAGTGCCCCAGACAGGATAGCCAATCATATTTTAGGTTTAAGGAGCAGCTCCTGGGGTGGCATATCAGAATTTATATGGGGAGCCATGCCACCCCCTGGACGTGCTCATGCTTGGGCCTCCAACAATTGTCCTGCTTATGGCAGCAGTGAGTCTACAGCATATCTGTTTTGTTTGGTTTACTGACACAGCCAGCAACTATGGAGCTTAGGGTGATGTCCAATTGCTTTTTAAGAGAACATTTTCTTTTTCTGGGGAAATGGAGTAGGCGGGACTGGTGACCTTACCACCTCTCAAATGAAGCTATTAGCCAGGTTCAACCACGGTAAGAGTGTGTTCCTCCACGATAAACACTGAGTCAAGTGTGCTTTAGAGGCAGAAATTCTCCAACACACACACACACACACACAGCACAGAGAGGATTCACAGTGGGGTCTGATAGAGCAGGGTTAAGGAGATGGTTGTTGTTTTTTTTTAACACTGGCTGAAATTAGATTCCAGCTGCCGGGTGCTACTGTAAGAGGAGGGTGATTGCATAGCGGGGTGTCTGGTTGGATAGCAAAGTCAGAATTATTCCCCCCACCTGGGCTGGGACACCGTAGGAGCGAGGCTGATGGAAGTGGAAGCCAATTTAGCAGCAGGAGTCGCTCCTGTGTGATGCAGAGCTCTTAAGAGATTGAAGAAGGGGAAACAAGAGTGCAGATGGATGGGTTTTTGATTTGTTTGTTTGGAAAGGAAGATAATGGTAGCATTGTTTTGTTTGTCTTGTTTTGCAGAAACTTCTGGACCAGATCCTGCAGAGATAAACAAGAGACACTGACCATTTTCCATAACTCTATGCAAATAATTCTTGTGCCTTTGCATGTCGTTTCATTCAATTAAAGCTCACTTCCTTCTATAATGGTCTGCTGAAAATGTTCTTGAACTGCTTCAAATGCAAAGAAGTGCAACAAATAAAGAAAACATTTATTTTGCTGACATTGTCAAGTGTTTCTAGTCATCAGGTTGACCGCTTTAGGGTGGTTTTCGCTATTTGCATATCTGTCTGGTTTGACTTGACACATTATGAAGACACAAGGTCAAATTATTCATGAGATGTAAATTAAATATGATGTTTATATGCTTTTAACTTAATTGTTCTGTACAGACACTGAAAAAGCCAAACCTGCTCTGACAGATGAAATATTGAAGCCATCAGCTTTTCATCTGTCTTCCATGCTTAAATGTCCACCCAGTGATGTAATGCATTGCCCATTAATCAAAGCATTCTTCTCATTTCTCTTCTAATGGTTTAATTCCTTATCGACCATATCATTTCCTACTAATGTATCTCAAAATGAAATGAAAGCATTCCAAGGACATTCCTTCCTAGAAAATCTACAGGAAATTGAGTCGCAGTGCTCTGAGCAAAACACCTTGACTCTGACATTGGTACAGTACTTAGGGTGCTTCTCAAGCATCCAGAGGGGAGAACCATGTTTCGTCATTGACTACCCATCTGCCTCGAGGCCTCTGGATCCTCCCATCTGGAACAGAGGAATTCCAAGCTAATCGAACTCAGGAGACACGCAGAGCCTTGTGAAAGGGGGCCTTTGTCACATATGCTCCAAACCAGGGATGACAATGTAATAAGAGAGGAGACTCCAGCGCAAAGCTTGTGACCGCAGTCCATATTTAGCCAGAAAAGGTGACTGACATCTCAATGGCATTTAAACAGAGCCTGCTGGGATAAGGAGAGAACAGGGGAAGAACATGTTCTGTAGGTCTTACACAAACACGCTGAATAAATACATATGGTTTGGCAGTGTTTTGGTGAGTGGATTGTTCTGGAGTAAATGCAACAAGTGTTTTAAACCCCCCAAAAATGCAAAGTTTTAGTTATATGCTGTTTGATCCCGGATAATTGCTTGCAACCAAAAGCAAGCAACATGTCTGATAAACAGTATTGTTTACAAGGCCATTGAAAAGAGAAATCCTCACGGGAGAACTGCTCTCCTGCCATGTCAGCTGGTTCCAGACGATGAGCAGCAGACTGACAGGCAGTTATATACGAGGGGAAAGGCTCCTGTCAGTCAGCCTCGCTCTCGGTGAGGCATCATGTGTGTATGTCACATTGCTATCTGCGCATAATGGACAATGTCTTCAGAAGCCTCACGACTGGCTTCCAAATGGCCTTGACTGACTCAGATACCCTGAGGGCAAGCCTGATATGTCTGGCTAAGAAAGGAGAACACTAGCAAAGCTTGCGGGGCTAATTGAGGCAGAGCAACTGATTGTGTTTAGTAGTTGTTCATTTCACACAGAGACATATTTTCACTGGTGTCTTTCTAGCAATGGGTCTGTCGAGTATTGTGGTATCACTACAAGTTGTCTTCTCAATTAAAATATTGAATATTAACTGTTCATAATTGATATTATGGCACAGAGTGTTAGCATCAAACTTAAAGGGGTCTTTCAAAACACACACAAAAAACACTGACAGCGCATGTGAACAACAGAAAATTAAGACTTTTTTAGTGTAACACTTCGTTTAGACTCTTGAGATGAAAAATGAAGACACAGAGATAAACTAACATATTGTAGGTTTTTCAAGGACATGACTAAATCAAAGTCAGCTCTGGCAAAACTGGGACATTTCTCAGGTAATGCCTGAACAGGGACATCTGTGACTTTCAAGCCTGCAGCATGCATTCTAAAAAAGAGTAGACCGGGTAGCCTGTGCACAACACAGATGGGGCCATGGTGAAGACAGTTTTTTTTTCATGTATGTGTGTGAGTGTGTCTGAACAGAGAGAAGTAAAAAAATCCCCTCAATTTCGGTCTTTTGAAATAAGGGGTTTAGGCACTACCTTTGATATATATATATATATATATATATATATATATATTTGTCACTCTGGAAATCAAATTTAATGGTTTTTTTTGTGTTTATCTTTACCTTACAAATCTACAGTCATGTTTAATATATTATATATTTTGTAAAATGCGTAGATTTGTTTCAAATCTCAGTACTAAGTCATGCAAATCAAACTTGATTTTGACTTCATTGATTTGATTTGAGACACTTATGAAAGTATTTCAAAATACACTCTAAGCCAAACTCAAATGAGGTCTCTTTTAAGGGAAATTAGCATCGTAGTGGGACAAAGTGGGGCTGACCACCCCAGGCCCCAAATGGAGATAGGGTCCCTAAATGGTCCTGAAATTAAAAACACATTTTTTTTGTTTGCATTGTTTTACTTTTCATTAGTTGCCTTTGTAGTACAAAATAGAGTTTGATATCGTAATGTTTGTTTACAAAGCTGTTGATGGATTAGCCCCACAATAGGCTTCATTACAGATCTGCTTGTTCCTTATTTTGCCCCCAGGTCACTAAGGTCATCCTCATGGCAACTCCTCTCAGTCCCACAATCATGACTAAAATCTAAAGGTGACAGGACCTTTTCTGTTGCTGCCCCCAGGCTCTATCATACCCTCCAGTCCCACATTAAGACCTGCTCCACTAACGGAAATGTATAATATATAGATCTGACGTTTGCCCACTCCAGGTTTTGACAGCAGCCCAATCAGAGTTTTGAGGTCAGGCCAACATCTGCATCCAATGTCAGGTCAACATCAAGATTTCACATCAGTCTTTTCGGTGTGAAGTTTGACTTTTAAGCCCTTCCATGTAATCGTTAAGGTGCCTTTCTGTCTTTCTTTAATTAGAAAAAGGAAAGTGACTGAAGACATAACAGAAGTATTGCATTTGACAGCTACAGTAATTGGGTCTGGAATGAGTCTGACTTTAGGACCCCGCGGAGTCTCAATCGCACATGGCAAAGTGTGGACGCTCCGGTACGAGAAGGGATGGCAAGCCAGTTCCCCTATTCTCCAATCTCCCCTCATTCTGATTCTCCAACTCCTCCTTACCATATCTCTACCACATGAGCAACTCATGTAAATAAAATAAAAAATTGGTTAACACATGAAGTGGTAGCCTGTGTTATTTCCGGGAGCGTTGCCGGTCTGAGTTCTGGTGGAGGAAGGAAAAGTTTTTGACAGCATCTTTCTGGAAATTACAATCTGCTGCATCTTTCTGGAGTCTTGGTGGAGAAGCTTTTTCCTTTCGTTTAATTTCTTTTTTTGTTTTGTTTTTATTTTGTGAAACCGGGTGTTTCCTGTACTTTCATCCTGTCCCTGAAGTAAACACCCCGAAGTGGTCGTTGCTGCATAAATATCGTAGTCTGACCGGAGCGCCTTCTCCCGGCTCCAGCCCACACAGCGCCGGGCATCATGAGAACCTGGAGGCGGCGGAAGAACTTTGCTTTTCTCATCTTCGCTCTCCGCTTCTGGTGCCTTTCCACGGCGACTGAAAATGCTGACAGCACGGTTTATAATATCCAAGGAGGTGAGTGGGTAACATAACTGTCATAAGCTTATCAGTTTTAGTGATTTGGCTAATTTGTATGCAGTGCTGTAGGTGTTTGTAAGATTGTTTGGATTGAATTTCATTCATGTTTATGAAGATACACAAAATATGGTTATCTTTTTTAATAGCAGTATTTCATTTTTCAAAACGTTCTAAGACTTTCTATGTTACATGACACTTCTCTTTAAATAGCCTTGTCTTGTCTCTTTGTCTTGTGTATTCTATATTTGGGACATGTAAAGGGGAAAATACTGTTTAATCCATTTTTTTCTGCCAGGACGGAACAATAATGGGAAGTGTCAGAATGGACTGATGAGTTTAACATCCAGGAGGATGCAGCCTTATCTTGAGGTTGTAAACATAAACCTCACAGGATGTTTTTTATTATTCAGCAGCTAAACTGAATCTTGATAAGCCAGTCAGCAATAACTGCTGGCTATTTTATTCATTGGACAGGGCAAGTGGCAGTATACAGGTGTTTTTATGTTGTGCATGTTGTACAGCCACAAAAATAAAATAAATAGAAAAAAGCCACAACCAGAAAAAAAAAAAATAATAATAACAATTTGTAAACCCCAGAAAAGTAATGTTTTGATATTATGGTATTTTACAAAAGTTGAACTGTGTCTGTGGTAAATAGATCTAGACGAGTTTGCAAATAAGGTGCAACATCCTGAAGTTATAAACATGTTTAAAGAAAATTCCTTTAATAACTTATCCTATAATCTCATATCTGCCAATGAAGAATCCTCAGGATGAAATGTATAACAGTTTTAATACTTTAATAGCATTTCATTTCGGTGCTTTCTTCAATAATTGCACATCACTGTTGCCACATTAATGCTTACAAACATCAAGGCTGATGTGGTGTCATTAAGTGTACATTTTTTTTAAGCATCCCTGAAAATAAGCCAATAAAGGAGAGAGAAGCATTTCATTGACTTTAGCCTCTTTAATGTTTTCTTGGCATCTTAAACCTGGGTGGAGACAGTGCTATAATGAACCAGGCTCTCCTAGAGGGAGACTCTCCATCAGCTCCTCTACATCATTGTTAGAATCAGTGTATGTTAACGGAGGAGGATTTAGACATTAGACCTGACCCTATAAATCCTTATTGACTTATCATATTATGATGTAAAGATAGAGCTTATCCCCAACATTATACCAAAATGAACACAAGGCTTTCTCCTACCTTCAGAAGACTTTTGTAAGTGCCTCAGCCTAATGAACAAATAATATATGCTGACATGTTTTGCTGTCATTTCTGGTCCTGCTGTCTCCATCCTCATCTGATATCTGTGTTGGGAATTTACCGTAGGCGGGGATCAGGCGGTTTCTACACACAAACACATTTATACAAACACACAGTAAACCAGGTGACGTGAAGATAACATGCTACTTGAGGCTAATAGATGTTTTTTACAGACAACTGAATAATTTGAGCCAAAGGTTTTGGAAGAATAAGTCCAAATTTGACTTATTTCAAAACTGCATACGTATTTATTTTATTTTGAAATAAATGGTCCTGAAATTGCAAAAAAAAAAAATATTGTTGATCCATTATCATAACAGGCCTAGTTTTGGATGTAAAGTGATCCCATGACTTGTCTGTTAGAAAGCATTTTGGGGTTAGCTTGCCTGCTTGAAATTAAAATAGTATATCCATGGATTGGTTTGACATGTAATTTAAACAAATAAAGTCTGAGTCCTAGTGGTCTGAAGTTTAAACAGTTGCTCCCTTCACATTCTCAACTTCACATGCCACTGCGAAAAAAAAAATCCCCCAAAAATGGAACTCCTGGACAAACCTGTCGTCGACAATTACAGGAGACGTTTTACCAGATTTACCTTTACTGTTGTCAATCTCTGTCGAGTGCATATTGTTGCATTGTCAGATATCGTTTAAGTGGGAGAGAGAAGAACATTGAAAGTATGTAAGGCCTGAAGAGGTTACCGACATCAGTGACCATAGATGGCAATTTTCTAAAACAGGAGAATAATTTGACTTTATGATGTCCTCCTCTACACAACATATGACCCAATGTAACATACGTTAGCTTCCTTAGAAAAGGAAGGAACAGGGCAAATCTGATAAAAGGAAACTTAGATTTATGCTGTCCTGTCACTCTCCCAGAAGTGTTTATTTTCCGGGACTGTCCAGGTGGACTGTCCAACTGCTTGGATTTATGTTGATGCATCCATCTTAAAGTTAAGATGATCCACTGAAACTGTCTTGCTGTTCAGCTGTCTGTTCACAAGGCTCTCTGTCAACTCTCCTTATACTATTGTGAATGGCAAGTTCTAATCGTAATGATAAGTCGGACTCCTGCATGTTTAAGTGGAGAGGGGTTGCAAGGGTTCAAAACAAGTTAAAATGGCTTTGCTCCACAGAGGCTTAAATCTGGCACAACTGTTAGCCTGACTTTAGCCAGCTTTGTGATGAATGCCCTGCCAGAATCGGCCAAACCTGGTCTTCTGCCATAAGCTTGTCCAACTGTAAGAGATTTGCAGCCTAGATCAGCCACAGTCTGCACCCCCCAGAAAAACAAGCGTGCCAACTCTAGGCTGCAATAAACAACCTGGGGGGGGTTCAAAAACTATATTAGGACTTTTTATAGAGGTATGTTAAAACTATCATGTTGTATTCATCCTTGTTGTTCTAATCAGTTTTATTACGGGAAAAAATCAAGTGAAATCACTGTTAACGTCGACAAGCAGTTTCAAAGAAAGCAATCCAAATACATTTCCAATTATAGGCTCTTAAACACACCTTCCCTCAAAAATTTAAATCTGTTGTTGAGTAATACAAGAAGAACTTATTGCCATTTTAGCATTCAAAATGCTTCACAATATATCACTCTGTCATATTTGAACCTGGCACCTGTCATTTGAAGACCTTAAAAACACTTGAAATGATTTAATGGTTGACTGTTGGATGCTGGAGTGAATCTGAAATTACTAACATATTTCTTTTCCATCTTGGATTCAAAGCAGCACCTCTGGTTAAATGTTGGTGTTATTAGATTTAAGTAAAAGAAACAGTCCATCTCAAAGAATCTTCAAAGTTAAAATCAGGTAATCAATAGTTGAAGTGGTTTTCCACTCATTAGTTTCAAAAAGGTTAAAAGCAAAAAAAAAAAAAGTTCCTTTGGGGCAAGAATCAAGCATGCTGTGTTTACAAAACTTTGATGAATCTCTCTCTTCCAGGCTTTCTGTCTCGCTATCTCTCTCTGTCTCTGCTCTGCATATCAACTGGTTTTACGAGTTCTGATCTTTTTTTTTTACTGGCAGAGAGAAGCTCAATAAATAATTAGAGACCGAACCAAATGACCTGGATTAGATTTGAGGATATTATCTGGTCAGGGCGCAGTATCAGACAGAATTAATTAGAAAGATTATAATGTCTGTGTTGTCTAAACAAACTGGATGAGAGTAGAATAAAACCTGCTCCCTGAGCACTCTGAAACACAGCAATTCAATCACGGTCCCTTTTGGTCTCTTAGGTGTACAGCCCGCATCTCAGGACTGTTTCCTGAGATGTAACTCACACCGATCATTCAGTCTGAGGTGGAATGCTGATGTATGGCTGCCATTTAGGAAATAACCTCACCCTGGTCTGTCTTTCAAACCCTTGGGGTGGCTGTCGCTTGACATTTTGAGGGCAGGCGGGCATTGATTTGTTAGCCATGACGGAAGGACCGACAAAGTCAGAAGCGTTTCCCTCTGTTAAGCATCATTGGTCGTTATAGCCATCAGGGTGATTTAGCTTCCTCTTGGTCCCCCCACGTGCCGCACTGCCCGGGGATGACGGGATCACAGCGATAATAGATAAGCTGATGTTATGAGACGGCAGCGTAAGGCACAACACACAAACAAGTGGCGTGCACAGCTCAGAGATGCTTACTGCTGTGCCATAATCTGAGATACTAGCATACACACATGGAATAATGCTCTGAGCAAATCCCCATGTCATGACCGAGAAGAGGAAAATGAGGGAGGGAAAGAGGAAGTAAAAGATGAGTTTGTTTAGACTGGGAGCAACGTGGATGTTAGACTAAAACAAAGCAACAGACCACCACCTAACAGACAGCAGTCAGTCTTGGGTGTGCTGGATAAAGGTGGCCTTATTTTCCACCTATCTGTAGCCTCAGCCTTCAGAGAGTTACTAGAGAGAAAGGTGCAAAGGCAGCTCTTTACCTGCCTTTTATCCATTTACTGCAGTGATTGTATGTATCATGCTTCCTGTAAAGTGCAGACATTTTTGTTGGATAAGTAATTTTCTTTGATATTCTGTGAAGCGAAGAAAGAAGAATGAAAGAATATGTGATGGATGGAAAGCCACCGTGTATTTGTGAACATCAGGTTGTTTATTTTTGCTAGAATGCAGATTGAAAGCAGGTATTGGACTTGCGAGGGGTACAGCACATGAAATTGCCAGTTCACATAGCTGAAATGAATTTTGGTGTGGAGATGTAGCAGAGATTTTAAGTGATGTTTTTTGCAGACAACATGATTGAGCTGGTAGGCATATGAATTCTTACGTTCTTGGTTTCTTTTTCTTTCACATCTTTCATATGAAATATCCGGTTCTGTCTGGATGAAAGTAGGGACAGAAGAAGAAAGTGGACTGATGCTCAACAAGCCTCGAGTCACGTTAGCTCCACATCAGGCGGAGTCACCAGGTCGCCCCACCTCAGTAATTTCACAACAAACAGGTCATTACACCTTCATGTTAGTGCATTGACTGTGAGACATAAGAGTTCAGCCATGCTTTTAAACCATAAACCATTACTTGGTGGAAGGTTTTGATTGAGGGAATAGAAGCTTGTTTGAGAGTCTTTCATGAAATGAAAACCTTTGTACAGAAAGGTCTTTAAGGCAGATGTTCTTTTTGCTTAGCCCACTACAATTTGTGATCTCTCGATCCTTACAAAAAGCAAATTCGATGTCGGGGTGCAGAATAGAAGGCTGGGGATCAA